GCAAAGAAAAAGCCACACAAACCAATTAATAGCCACACAGGAATGAGAGGGTCGTCACACATGCTCTTTCTATATAAATGATATTCCATTTTTTCACTGCTCCTTTAAAAAAAAAAAAAATCATAATGTTTCCAGCAGTTTCCTGTATTTCATACCTTTCTTTATATCCACGGATGGCACTGACTTGTCCATCACGATCCTTTCCTATACAGTAATGCGTAAAAAAAATCTAAATTGATATCCTTAATGAACCAGAGTTATGTTGCAGTGCGTGTGCTGCAGGTAGGATTTCCATGAATCACAGCTCTTCCACTTCTGTTTTAATGAGCTAATTTTTTTTTCACGAAAGCTTGAAATATGCCTTCACTTCTTTTATATTTAGCACATTTTTGTGTGTTTTTTTTTTTTTGGTCATGCCTCATTCATAATATATCCTTGTCATTAATCTATACAGAATAAGGTTTTCAGTCAAAGTTACATCTTCTGTTATTACTTAGAACTTTGTGCCTGCTAGAAATATGGCATGTAAATGCAGAACAGAGGGGCTTGTCGTGCAGTCTGATTTAACATGAGTTTTTTCGTTGAGGCATACAGCAAATGAAAGATTGATGAAATTAAATTTAGTGGATGGCTAGCTGTGATTTGACTGGGGAAGTATCACTTTCTCTCTCTCTCTCTCTCTCTCTCTCTCTCTCTCTCTCTCTCTCTGTCTCTGTCTCTGTCTCTGTGTGTGTGTGTGTGTGTGTGTGAGATAGAGAGACGTGAAGTAGCCTGTATTGATATGTAGTATTGTGCGGGGGAGGTGGCTGATTCAGGGAGATGTCCGCAGGAAGGCAGAGCTGAATTCTAATAATGCTGCATGTGGTGCCAGGGGGCAAAACACCAAAAAAAAAACAAAAGCTGAAGTTTTTCTCTCCTCCAGCATGATTCAAAAGAAGTGAGAGGAAAGAAACAACATTACAGCGCAGATATGAAAAAACAAAAGAAAAACTCTCACACAGCTGTAGGAGTAGTAGCAGTCATATCTTTGTTGTGGCTGCTGCTGTGGGTGGTTGTAGTGTCTGAAGGTGAAATGGAGGCAGTGGTGTCAGGTCACTCCACCGAGCCGTCATGTATGTGCGAGAGGCGCGGGAGCAGAGCCGAGCACTTACCCCAGGACATGAGTGTGAAAGCGTCTCCATCGGTGTCAGCGGCGGTTCGAGTGGGGGGATGTGGTTGATCCCTGACAGCAGCAGCTGACCTGATTCATGAGAGGAGCATCACATTCACACTAAATGGAAGAGTAATACTTGTTTGCTGGAGGCTGAGGTGACAGCTGCCACTTATTTCAACAGAAACTCTTGCATAGTGCTCCTACAAGAGAAGAGTTTCTCTTCCTTTCTTCTCTCTTTTTTTTTTTTTTTTTTTGGCTGTGAGCTGAAACAATTATAGCTTCATGTTGTTTGATATTTCTTTGCAGGATGACAAAAAAAAGGTCCAGGGGATGTGGACCTCTCAGTAATTAGCTGCAGGGTCGGGTCGTCCAGGCTTGTTGTTTATCATGAACAACAAAGAACAAACGTGCCTACTTTTTAAATGACACTGGACATGACTAATAGGTGGATCAGTTTGACCTGTAGCACCAGCTCTTTTTTGTCTAATTAAATGCTGATTTGTGTTTTGTTTATTCAGTTTTTCTCTTTTGAAAAATCCGCCTCTAATGAAGGGCTCTTGTGTTTTGTGTGTACACTTTAAAAACTCTTTCACATTCATGCTTCCAGCTCCCAAATTATTGCTTCATCAAACGACTTAAAGTGGAGCAGTGAGCAAAGCACTAAAAATACTTAAAACAATTGTAATCCCCAGTAGCTAATGATAATATTATTCCTTAGGTTGGTTGTAAATTGCGCTTTCTTCATTTCATTTATTGTCTCTACAAAGTGACACTGGCTTATTTTGCCCTGGAGAGGAAGCCATGGATTCCCACATGCTTCCACTCAACACTGGGAGCTGATGTATAATTTATGCTCATAATGAACAGCTTTTAACATATTCTATATCTTAATACAACTTGTTTTTCCCCCATGGTCTCATCATTAAACTTGCATAGTGATAGCTTTCTAATTGGTTCTGGGAAACTTGAGCGATATGTACTGTATTTGTGGCTGTCCCCGTTCCCCTGGCTTGGAGTCCCTGAGCTTGTTAAAGATGTGAGGAGAGGGACTCCTCTTGTCATCTTTGTGTACACATGGACTGTCTTAGCCCTCGCTGGAGTTTTCAACTGAAACCTTTCCTTATCATGAGAGAAGCAGCCAAGGATTGTGATCAGTGCGATCTTAAAAAGGCATTCAGAGACCTTGACACTCATGAAAACGGCAGCTGCTCTGCATGTTGAATTGTCTGTCTCACCATTTCAGACTATTGATTGAAAGTACATAACCATTTAAAGGCGTCACCTTGAACTGAGATTGTATGTTGGAGAAATTTACATCTAAATTGCTCCTTGCTCACACTGTGTCTTTCTTCATTTTGTTTGAGGGAACTGGCCATCAGGACACAAAAATCGACTAATTAACTAACAAGAGGCCGATAGAAAGGTGCTCTCACTGCCTAATTTCTATTAAGCTCAAGGTAGGTGAAGTGAAACGAGCTCAGAACAAAACTGTGCAAGGATGACAAGGGATACAAAAAAAAAGAAAAGAAAGCAGGGGGAGGAGAAGGAGAGCTGAGCCTAAAGCAAAAAGGAGAAGCAGGAAGCTTATTCCCAAGGGATCTGTCAGTCAGAAAGAAGGCTTTATTTAGACGGTGTGATTTTATTATTTGTGAAACTCTGCGGGGAATCGTTTCCCTGCCGAATCCCTCACTTATTCCACACCGCTGTGGAACTTCTGTAATGAAACGCATTTATCATCTGCAAAACGACAAAAGTGCAGATGAAACTGTCTGTTTTGCTGGAGATAATTGCTAAATCCCCGTCTCTCTCCCTCACCGGGCAGCGCTCACCTCACCTGTGGTGCTATTGACAGCTTAATAATTTTGCCCCTGCAGTCTGAAATTAAGTTGATCTTATCTGTCAGGAGTCCTTTGTCGGTATTGATTTAAGATATTAAGCCTGTCAGTATGCATACAAAAGGTGCTGTGTGACAGTTTTATTGCCTGTTTCACTCATTAGACTGTGCGCCTTAAACCCTGATGGGAGTCCGGAGTGAGCAGGGACTTAGCTGAAGCTGCTCTCTGTTTGACTCCCCAGTACCTATTAATTATCAGGACTGTCACTCTGTTGCGTCTCCTGCTAGTTTAACTTCCCGCTAAGCCTGCTGTTGTCATTGTTGTAGTCTGAGCTCTGTTTCTGAAGATCTATTGTTTGAAGATCTCAAAGAGACAAAGCCTCAAACCAGCAGAGATTTTCATATTAAGATAAACCCTCAGTCTTGACAAAAGCCTTTCCTCCTGCTTGTTATCAAGACTTTGCTGATATAGTATGAATATGTATATGTATACTATATATATTTACATTCACACTCCGAGCTCTCCCAACTCTCAGCTTCCGTCTCCTCATCCTCCGCACCCCGAGCAGCTGAAGCTGGCAGGCTCCCCTGACATTTGTTTACCACGCCATCAATCAGGCCCTTGTCACTAACGCCTCTCAGGCAGCAGATCCTGCAGAAAACTCCTCTACACAGCTCGGCACGTTACGACTCCAGTCTCCACTGAAGCTTTCAACAGCCACATGGGACAGAAAGACTAGGGGGGGGGTTTCACAGGAACTCCTCTTTGTATTTAAACATCAGATGTCTGTGCCCTATTTATGTCTCTGTGTGTGTGTGCATCATTTTAGAGGGGTGATTGAGGAGTAAGGTTTGAAATTTCAGCTTCAGTGTGTGAACTTTTCTTTCTCTAAAGAGGCGTTTTCACACAGAAATGTATGTTGTAAGTCTTGTAAAATCATGATTAAGTAAAAACCATGTTAGTATTAACTACAGTATAAATTCCTTTTCAGAACTTTTAGAATAGAGTACACACATCTTACAGTTTTACCGTGACATTGTTGTAGTGCATGTTGACATATTAAAACAAGAAAGAATAGCTCTTATAAAAGACGTCCTTTAGTCCACCATCACACAAAATTGCAGTTCACTCACCGTCACTGCTGCAGCAGCTGAGTCTCTGTTGCTATCCTTGATCAGACTAAATTGTAACCGCATCGTCTTTATCTCCTTCCTCACTGGGATTTTTTTTCAAATTAAATGAATTTCTTCAGGGTGTTTGTTCTTTGATCTGGTTGTGTACGGCTACATAGGCTACATCGCCCCAATGAAACGTCCTTGTCACCTTAGTTTTTTTTTTTTTTTTTTTTTACACTGGCTTACATCTGCACCTTTCAAAAGAGTTCTGAGAATCCAATTATTTCTCACCTTTAGTGTGTGTGGCCAGGTGCGGAGATGTTGTTTCATCACCTTCAATCTTACTGGTGGCTGTTTTTTATGTCATGCATTTGTGAAAAGCATGCTGAAACCTGGGTTTGTTTGTCTGCACGCTGCAATGCTCCCAGCCCTCACATTTGTGCGTAAAAAATGCTTTTTTTTTGATCCTGGGTGTGAAAAGTGTAGCCTGGAGTGGTGGGAAAGTTTGTGTTGACCAAACTGATCTCTGAGGAGAACACAGCCTTGGTGTATTGCTTGAATGTGCATCAAAATGACACATTTTTTAGGAAGTAATTTATTTTTTACTTCAACCCTGCTAAATAACACAGCCTCTACATAATAATCATATGCTCATTAAGGCAGCAAAATCTGCTGGAGATAGTGTTTCCTGTGTTTAGCATGCAGGGGATGCAGCTGAATCCTTCTGCGTGTGCGCGCGTGTGTGTGCGTGTGTGTGTGTGTGAGAGAGAGTGTGTGTGTGAGTGTGAGAAGGAAGAGGAGTTTCTGTTTTTGAAAATTAAACAAGAGTAGCTTTTTCCAGCTCCTTTCCCCCTGCTCATCCAGACTCCTTTCCTGTCTCTGCTGATTTCCTGCCAGGTTCAGATCTGCAGGTTTGCCAAACCAAAGGCCCGACCTGCTGTTCCAAGAAGATGGAGGAACGGTATCAGGTAGCCGCGCGCAGCAACATGGAGTCTGGTCTGCAGGTTGTTAGTGCTCAACTCAAACGCCTCATCATCCAGAACGCTGCCATATTCCAAGGTAAGCAGTGAGTACAGTTTGTCCAATCCTGTCTCAAACAGACTATTTTAACTGGCGCAGAGAAGAAACAACATTGTAATTCACAATTTTAAACTGATAATTGACGCCCTCAAATCAACACAGTCAGTATCCACTTTCTTGGCTACACATCCCCGTTCATGTCAGCCACTCACTCCTCCAGGCAGTGAGTCACATGTAAAGAAAGCAGAAACATAATGCACGCAGACAGGGATGAGACGTTCAGCTGCTGTTCTACTAAATGTTACACTGGCAGAGACGTGTGGCTTAAGTGACTTTAGATGTAGTGTGGTTGTTGGTGCCAGACATGTTGCTCCAGAAAGTGACAGCCTCCTGAGATTTTTGGCGCACTGCAACCAGTGATAACTGTTATTCACAGAGTGAAACACGCCGCCAGTCAGTAGTGGTCCTGGAAGATGAGAGAGAGGTAGAGAGGTCAGAGGAGACTCACTGGTAGGACTGATTCAGGCTAACTGACGTATATTTAAAATAACAGCTCAGTGCAGCAGTGATGTGGAAAATGCACAAACTGTCAAACCTGGAGACGCTGAGGTTCAACTCCTGTCAGCTGAGAACAAGAACATGAAGGTACAGGAGGCAGGTGATTGCTAAAAATGATTGACTGAACAGTGAAGTGACACCTGGGCTAGTGGTGGTGAAAGCAGATAAGTCAGCGAGAACTATATGACACTAGTAAATCAACAATTCCTGGTTGCATTGTTGCTTTAAAGAACTGAGGCCGCTCTGGAGGCAAAATTAAATCACAACCGGTACAAAGTTGTACAAAATGGAGCGAATTTCTTTTGATGTACTCTTTGCTGGTTGCCACCAAAAAGTTTTTAAAAACAGTCCCTTTTTCCTTTTCATTAGCTTAGTTTAGCTAAGCTAACTAGCTTACCATACAGACATAATAGTGGTTGCTTCTCATCTAACTCTCTGATAGAAAGTGTATTATTATTGTAATATTAGATTATGCTGAAATGTGGGGTGCCCTCACCTGATAGAAAGTCTACCACCGAGGCTCAGTCCTTACTGCAGGGGCCTGGGTTCCAATCCAGCCCGGGCTGCACATCATCCTCTCTCTCCCTCCCCTACTTTCCTGTCACTCTCTCCCTGTCTCTATCCAATTAAAGTGACAAAGTAACAAGGAGTATGACAAAAAATAGCTTTTGGCTAACTCACAATATAGACACACTAATGACACAAAACAGTACTGCTAATTAAGGTGCAGTGTCCCTGTTTAAAAAAAACAACAACACAAAAAGTAAAATAAATCAGTGGACTGAATGATAAAAAGTCTAAGTGAGATAATGACAATCAATGACAGAGCTACTTGGATCTGTGCACCGGTAGACGACTGCACACCCCTTCACCCCCCACGCAAAAAAAAAAAGTCTCATCATGACTATGATTAAAAGCATTCTTTCTTTCCAGCGGACTTTCAAACATTTACTTTGATGAAGCTAGTGCGCTTTGAATTTTGGGGGAATTAGTTCTCTTCCTTGTGGGCTGCTGAAATTGTGTAACTTTTAAGAGAGGAAATAATGCCGTCTTCTTACAAATAAAAAGTTCAATTCTTATACAACAAAACACACATTCGTTCACTTCACTCTGTGATTTTGCAGCCACAGGCCTAACATGGTCCAATATGACAAGTAGCTATTGGTGGCTAATGTTAGCTAACCTTTGCTAGGTGTTGCTGTTGTGTTGTGTGCGTGCGTCAGTTCAGATTTTTTACTCTTCTTTCCTTGTGTTAGTATTTGAAGTTTATTTGTTTACTATGCAGCAAAAGTTGCTTAGTTTCTTACTCTTTACTCATTTGTGAACTTTAGGGGCTGGTTTCAAACTCCCTGACAACAAAGGGGAACACAACTTTTTTCCACAGTGGAGCCATATTAGCAACAGCTGTGAAATATCCCTTTCACATTTAATGTTGGGTTTTTGTTATCACCATGCACAGGCCTTTTCAATGCAGCGCAGTGGCTCTGTTTACTGTCTCGGGGTTTCCACTTGAAGTGGGATGTGTGGACTCACTGGGCCAACTTTTTTGAGAACGCACACTCACGGGTTGTGAAACGCAGCACCATCCTGACATGCTAATTAAAACTTGAGGTTTAATGGGGACCATGGGGTTTGACTTGCTTGTTACACGCTAACTATGTTAGAGACTGCTGCTGTGGTTTGGCCGCACTTTCCTAGAAGGGTTCAGTACTAATTGCTTTAGCATAGGACTTGGGAGAACTCCCCAAACAGCCCCCGGACTCAAATCCTTTTAACATCCTGGTCTTATCTGTTTCCCTCTACTTCATTTTCATCCTCTCTCTCTCTCTTCTCTGCTGTTCCTCTCTATCTCTCTCTCTCTCTCTCTCTCTCTCTCTGACCCTGTCATCCTCTCTCTCCATCTCTGTCTCGCTCAATCTACTCGACTTTTCTTTCTCCTTCTATCTTTCTCTCTGTCTGTCTCTTCCTCTCGTGTTCATGCTACTATTGGGAATTGAGTGCATGCCTTGTTTGCAATCTTCTTTGCTGCTCTCTGTCTCTTTTCTTCAGCGCTCACTACTGCCAGAGATCAAAGGGCCTCCCCTTTCCACCCCTCTATCTCCCATCTCTGAGTGCTCCCTCTATCCTTGCATCCCCTCTCCTTCCAGCTCCACCTGCCCTGCTCTGCTTTCCAAAGCCTCAGACTACACCAGAGGTTTTCACCTTTTTGAAGTCAGCTTCTCCAAACAATAGAAAAAGTAATCGCTCTGTCTATCTTTGTCTTTTAAGCAGTAAGATGACAGGCAGCCTTAACATTAGGCTTCTTCAAGATCAATACCAGGAAATAGGTAAGGCATTAGGAATTTCTAATGATGCGTGGCTCTTGTGCAGAAAGTCTTATATGCCATTTGACAATCTAATGAGCCTTAGCTGATCTCTTTATAGTATACCAGGGAAACACAACGTAATGGATAAAATGCAGCATCCACTCTGATGTGTGACAGACTCTTGGATTTCATTTTGATTCACATTAGTGAGTTGATAACACCATCTTCCCCCGCGTGCTGTGATTGCCTCGCGCTCAATGGCCTGATGTTGCCAATTTAGTTTAAAATGAGAATCTGTAAACCTGTGGAAGATGCTCATCTTTAAATCTATTTTTTTGTAAATGAGAAGATGATCTTGTGCATGCTTAGAGTTTAATTTTGTAAATACATTACGGAGTCCAATATTTCTAAAGTGTGAATTAGTATGTGATGCTGCACGTCACATAATCTGATACATTAGTTTTATTGCAAGGTTCTTCCAGTGTTGGGCGAATTACTTGACAATTATTTATTATTTATTACATATTGAACAAATGATTATATTACCTCACTAATTGCATATCAGCAAAAGTAATTGCATTACTCATTACATTACTTCATCAAAGATGTCCTCCACGCCTACACTTTGAGACAGTCCTTCCATGAACAGACAACCCCACAGGTCGTTTGTGCAGCTTATTACATTATTACATTTTATTGTTAAACAACATTTTTGGAGCTTGATCCAAACTAGAGACTAAAATCAGGATATCTCAGCTTCTGTTTCTTTGATTTTGACCATTCGTTTTTCAATCTGTCCACCAACTATATGGAAAAGCATTTCTAAATTGCTGTAGTATCCCTTTGAGTGAAATTATCAATTACTGCCAGTATCGAATAATCAGACCATTATTTTTTAAGTTGGTCAATTCATCATCTTATCTAGACAATTGTGAAAACTACTGAAAAATGGCCATCAAACGTTTGCGGTCTCAAATTGCCTACCTGTCTCCTACGATTTAAGTTTATATACTATTAACTAATTTTTTTTGCCTGTTCATATACTAGGTTTCGACCTAGTGGTAAACTGAAGGACACAAATGCTGCCTGTCTTATTCTCACGATCTGCATTTTTTTCCAGAGAAGGTAGTGCTAGATTTACTACCACCTGCAAGTGATAGGGAGGTGGTTGAGGTGGATGGTGGGTATACAAAGCACAGGACTTGGCACCAGAGATCGGGGTTGACATCCGTGATATGACCCAGATCACTATCTTTCCTAAACCTCAACCAAGTGCTGCGAGTGCCTGAACATTACCATAAAAGAGTTAAAACATGCTGTAATTGCTACTGTATGTATATTGTATTGCAAGATCAGATATTGAAATGCATTGTCAGTGAACCAAATACAATCAGTATCAGCACCTTGCAGCTTAGTTGATACATTCATTACAAATATTCCCTCATTATGTTAAGACCTTAATATTTTATCTAATCTTTCGAAACATTGTTGCAAATTATTAGTAAGTGTAATATATAGGAGAAGAGGTTGCAAATTGCCTTTTATGTAATTTATTTTGTCCAACGAAGGTATACATTTTACACCGATGTGAAACAGAAAGAGAATGAGCATTTTTGCTTCATAAATGATTAAATCAGCCATGGAAAGCACTGGAGTAACAGACGGTTTTCAGTAAGTTTCCATCTAGTACACTAATTAGAAAAAGGCCACAGAGACAGTTGGGAAATTACTGTTTGTACTGTATGTGTGAACGTCTCTGGTAAACTCGCACTACTTTAGGGCTGTAACACTTTCACTTTTCTGATTCCAAAACACTGTCCTAACACTGTGACTCAGCTGACTAAGGCACAGATTTATGTCTGTGATGTGATTATTCTTCACATCTCATGTCATCCCCTCTCTCTCACCTATCTCCTCTGACTGTATCCCTGTATAACTGCCCGACGAAGCAGAAACTCATCCAAAACCGTCTTCTGGCGTTTTGGGTGATTGGCAGCTCTAATTGTTGTTATTTCCCCAGCGATGTGTCCTTCAGAGTGCTGCTGCTGCTGTTGTGATGCTCAGCCTGAGCCGGCAGATTAGAAATTAGATTATCCTCCTTTGTTAATGAGACAAGCTTTTATTTAACTTTTTGAGAATGATTTGTTGGGGCTATTATTGTGTTAGAGCTGAAAG